ATAGTGTGGGTAGGGTTATATTTTAACGAGGTGGAGCCCCCCCGTAGGGGGGGCGGAACGTACTGCCTCCACGCATTCGCTTTTTATTGCGTGATATTAAATTTGAAGAAAGTACACTTATACAATAATAAATTCATTTATTCAGTACAACGACGGAAGTACATCCGTGGAGACAGTATGTTCCGTCCCCCCTGCGGGGGGCCTCCACTTTGTTAAGATATAACCTAACCCAAACTATGTCCGAGGTGTGGAGTGGATCTCGCCTCACGTGAAAAGTCGCAAATCCATATGGAATCGTATATGTACTACAAAGCGCATGCTTAGATGGGAGGACAGATATAAGATTTAGAGTCCATCATTTTTCTCGAAAACTATCACTCGTAGAATAAAAATGAATAGAACATAAAACATATATTTTAAAGAGATCTACAACTTTTGTTTAAAACATTTTTCAAAATTTTTAATATTTGTGTCTGAAAATTACATATAATTGGTCGACATTGTTTTTTTAATAACTTTTTAACAAACAACGAGCGACGGCTAAAACCTTCTGAGCGTTACTCAGGAGGGTAACCTTGACAACATATGTCAAGGTCAAGGTCATTGGAGCTGATTCCCCTATAGTGAATAATTACCCTGTTTTCATATAACAAGACACTAATTAAAACCATAGGTTATATAACCGTCTCGATCGAAGCCAACGGTGCTCGCGAAAATCGCATTGTATATGTAGTCAAAGGGGGCGGATGCCCGCTAATAAGTAGAAACTGGCTACGCGCACTCGGAATGTGGCCGATCCGAGCGAAAGTAAACAAAAAGCGGACCGCGATAGGCCAGGTGAGCGAAAGGACGGATACAATAACAGTTACGGCAAATTTACGCGAAGAGTTTCCAGACGTGTTCGCGGCCGGGCTAGGGACGTTCACAAAAGGCGAACTCGAGTTATATGTGAAGGAAGGGACACAGCCAAAGTTCATCCAGCCGCGCCGAGTCCCATTAGCCATGAGGGTACTTGTTGAGAACGAGATAGGGAGATTGAGAAATTGCAAAATTATTGAACCAGTAGAATATTCTGAGTGGGGAACGCCGGTGGTCCCAATCCTAAAAAAAGATGGCACAGTAAGACTCTGTGGTGATTATAAAACAACGCTAAATAAGCATCTGCAAGTCGATCATTTCCCCTTGCCCCGGGTGGAGGAAGTTCTCGACACGCTCCGCGGCGGAGTTTTCTTTACTAAACTCGATCTCGCGGAGGCGTACCAACAAGTACCACTCAAAAAAGAGTCAAAAAAATTAGCTGTAATAAGCACGCACGTAGGTTTGTTCCGATATAACAGATTGCCATACGGCGTAGCCACCGGACCAGGATCGTTCCAACGAATCATGACATCGTTGTTATTGGGGATACCCGGAGTTATGGTGTTCCTAGACGATATAATAATTGCGGCACCGGACTATGAAACACACATGTCGCGGTTAAGAGAGGTATTAAGACGTCTGAACGATTCCGGGCTACGACTAAAAGACGAAAAATGTAAATTCCTACAAAAAGAAATAAAATACTTAGGGTTTCGAGTAAATGCAGCGGGCATTTTCCCATCAGGCGAAAAAATCGAGAGCGTAAAGCGAGCACCAGAGCCAAAAAATGTCTCGGAATTAAAAAGCGTCCTAGGCTTCATTAATTATTATGCTAGGTTCATAAGCGATATCACAAATAAACTGCGCCCGCTGTACGAATGTTTGAAAACGGGTAAATTTAAGTGGACGAAAGAATGTACGCAGGCGTACGAGAGCATAAAAAAAGACTTGTCGTCCGAGCTCATGCTCGCCCACTTTGATCCAGCCAAACCGATCGTTCTCACGTGTGACGCATCGCCATACGGCGTGAGCGCGATTCTGTCGCACCGTGATGGCGAGGGGGGAGATAGGCCTGTATGTTTCGCGAGTCGCACGCTGTCGAGTAGCGAGAAGGGATATCCCCATCACGACAAGGAAGGACTGGCAGTAATCTTCGGTATACAGAAGTTCTATCAATACTTATTCGAAAATCACTTTCTAATACAAACAGACAGCACGGCCCTGTCCAAAATCTTCCACCCGGACCGCTCGGTTCCAGAAATTAGTACTGCTAGACTACAACGATGGGCGATATTCTTGTCCGCTTTCCGATACGATATTAAACATATTCGCGGAGACAAAAATTACGCCGATTGGCTCAGCCGACTACCGGTGAAGGGAAAAGAAACAACCGTAACAAAATTCGCGATATTGCAAGACAGCGAATGCTTATTACTGCGAAACATACAGGCCGCGGATTTCGCAACGTTGGACTGGAAAAAGGTGCAAACCGACACTCGCGAAGACGCGACGCTTTGCAAGGTCATCCGTTATTGCATAGACGGATGGCCAGGAGAAACCCCCAAGGATAAAGAAATAATCCCCTTCTGGGAAAAGCGAGAAGCATTATCGATAGAAAATAATTGCGTGCTATGGGGACACAGAATAATTATACTAGCTAAATTGAGAAATTTAGTTGGTAAATGTGC